AAGCTCAGAAAAAAGTTCCTAACTGTAAGAAAAACAGGGAAATGGCCGCCCACGCTACTTATGAACTTGTGGATTCTCCCACCAGAAATTTTAAAGAGTTTGGCTAGGCATCTGTCAGAGAAGGTTTATGAATAATAAAACCAGCACCTGTTTAGCAACTTTGACAAGATAACCCTTAACATCTTTTTCAGCACCACGTTTACAACAGTCAGCAGGTATCTAAAATAAGACTTCCATTCTTACCAACAACTAATCTCAGTACAACTTGGTACATAATAGGGATGACTAAAAGCCATTTCCAATTTAAAGACTCCTCAAACCAGAGCTGAAAAAAATCACTATACAGTTTTGATTCAGACCAGATGATATTAACATCAGTATGAAAAAGCCAAAGTTTACTTTATATAAATAATTTAAGATTTCTGAAGTGATCAAAATGACAAATCAAAAAACAATTAGAAACCCAGGAAATGGAGAATAAAGATTAAAAAGTATGAAGACATTAATAAGAAAAATCTGAAAACTAGTCTGAATTGAATTTAACCTTGACTGGAGTTATACAATGTGGAAAGCCCACAATTCCACATTCTTCAGGAAGAGTCCATATGCTACTGATTTACTGTGTTAGTGGGCTTTACATGTACAGACCTTCTGGGCCCGGACCAGCGGTCAGCAACATTTTTAAGCCAAGTGCCAAAAAACACCACAACCTGGACTTTAAATCTGTTGGAATGCCAGGGCGGATGGTGGGGGAGCAACAAGGAGCCTGATCCTAACCATGGCAGCATATCCCCTGCCCCTTACCTGCCGTGCTCCCTGTTATGTGCATGCAGCCACTGGCAGCAATTGGCTGGTCCAGGGCTCTGGACCCCTGCCTGCTCTGAGCAGCCCAGGCTCTGGGCAGCCCCTGCTGCCCACCATGGAGCCCAGGCTGCTCACAACAGAAAGGCGCAAGACTGAGGCATGGAGATGGCATAGCCCTGAGCCCATCCAGGCAGGCTGTTGAGGGCAGCCAGTCCTTCTGCTGGGGCTGAAGCTGGCAGGAGACAAACCTGCAGCCACCCCTACCACCTGCAGGTGGAATCCCAGGTTGAATTGCTCCCACGCTGTCCTGCAGCTGACCAGCCCCAATACGACATGTGGCAAGTCTACCTCTGCAAGGAAGAAGGATAAAGGTTGTGCTGCCCCAGGCCCCTTCCCAGCTGTATGCACTGAGGCATGCATGCAGCTGCCACTAGAGCCCAGTGCCACTCTTTGCAGCCTCCTGGCTGTCTGCCACAGCTGGCCCAGGCTCTGGGCAGCTGCTGTCTGCTGCAGGGCCCAGGCTGCTTGCAGCAGCACTTATAGCTTTCTGGCCACTTGCTGTGAGCAGCCTGGACTCCATGCCCAGCAGCAGCTGCCCAGAGCCTAGGCCAGCTGTGGCATGCCAAGCAAAATGGCCTTGGCCTTGCATGCCATTATTTGGCACACGTGCCAAGGGTTGCCAACCCCTGGCCTAGATCATCTACCTAGCACTCACAAAAGTATCAGAAATTAATAAGCTGCAAAATGTACACAATCATTTATGAGCAACAAACATTACAAGATCTAATCTAAATTTAAGATTTCCATGAGTTCTACATGGAAAAAATGAAGGCAGTAGTATCATTGCTATTTCACTAGACAGCATCTTTTACTCTGAAAAAAAAAATCTTACAGCTTTTAAAACAGAGCTATTGATGAATAAATAAAAATTGTACCTACTGTCCCCTTCAATAAATCCACAATCATATCTTACAATGTAGGAGTCTGAACTTCAGGTCCCTAACTATGTGTAACGATTACAAAATCACACCAAAGAATGAAAGAGGAGCAAAACATTGATACAGAACCAGAGTTAAAGGTGCCTTGATTGTTCATTTACATATTTAAATGAATAAAAGTTTAAAAAATTTCAAAATATTAAGTCTGCATTTCCTAAAATTTTTAAATTACAGTAGGTAGTAAAAACCTAGATTACTGTTATGTTCTCTTCAACAACTTTTTACACGGGTTCGAGTGGTTCATGGTACCCAAGGTGATTTTTGTGG